TGCAGTTAAAGCTATAAATCTCTTACATTGTGTCCGTACCACATTTCTGCATCCAGTTTGACATTCCTTCATATTTTTTCAACTTATTCTATGTCAGATTGGATGGAAATTCTCTATAGACATTTCATTTACAGACCTGCCAACGATTTTATTCATTTCAGCCTCCCTCCATATTCCCAACCTGACTTCTTCCCTCTTCCTGGTTATGAAACCAACACATGATGACACCACATGCATCAAAAACAGTAGAAAAAAAGGCATTTTACAGAAATTAATAATAATAAAAAATGCTTTGTTTTCCTTCCATGTCAAAATGAATTCTGGATATTTCATAACTCTTTAAACTACATTTGGGCTTTTGTGTTAAAAGAACCCAATGTGGAAAAAGAAGTGACTTCCATAAAGAGAATTTGATCCAGCTGCTTTCTTATTTATTTTTTTTGTACATGTTCTCTAGTTTTTTGTTATCTTAAAGTTCAATACAAGCCTTTTTATTGTGTCTTTTACTCATACAAACGCAAAGAATCCTACGGAACGGACACACCCTTATCTTGTGTGCGCTCTGTTGCTTCACATGAAGATCCTACATTCTTCAATCTGTTGCCAAATGGACCAAGACGGAAGCTGCTTTGATTCTCACAGGCAGCCTGTCGTTTTGAATAGAACATTTTACAGCCAACTTGTCAAACTTTATGATTCGCCATCACTTTCGCACCGAGGGATCATTGCAGAAAACGGTGTCCAACACATAGTACCTTGCTGTTTAAAAGGTAGTGCTACATTGCACATTGACGTACTGTGGGACACTTGTTTAGGATCAAAGGTTTCTGTTTTAAAGCATGTGCTATGGTCAGGGTGCTGCCCTCTTTTGGTTGGAGGTCAGAGTGTCAACATTTAGGAATTTGGGTCTCACCAATAATAATACTCAGAAAATCTGCATGGGTTAGTGATAAAACTTCCAGTGACACACAAAAATATTTCTATTTACTTCCCAACCCTCAAATGTTGACTGCCGTTTAACCCCCCTTATATAAAGGGAAAGTTTGTAACTAATTTGTTTTCTATAAGCTACACTGGAAAACAACTAATAATAATAATTTCTTAAAATAAACGTATTTACCCTTAATTTAAGTAGGTAAATAAATAGACATTTCACCAATGGAATGAGTAGTTTTCCTCTTAAAATACAATAATTAGGTGCTATGCACTTGGAATAAGACAATGTAATTGTTTTTTCTTATTTTAAATGTAAATTGTCCTGTTCCATTGGCAAAGTGTCTCACTTTCCTCCTCAGTTAAAAGAAAATAACAAAAAAACACTAATTATAAGAAAACTTTACTTTTTTGCAGTGTAAAATTAAGTAATGCTTTTATAAAAATCTACATATTCTGCCAAACACTAATACCAATCCACTTAAAGATTAATTTGGTCCCATAGCTTAGAGTAAATTGTTTAGAAACACATAGGCGGTTCGCCCAATAGAGGACGCCATGTTGTCTTCGAATACAGTAGCTAAAAGAGGACAAACTTCTGAGCCTTGGGCATGTTCTGTGTTTGTTAAGACGTGTCGTCGGTTGTGGAGCAGTAAGCAAAGACGAGCATAGATTGTTCTACCTGCTGTTGAAATGAAGGAGCATCCATACTCTTTCCCATCAAGAGGGAAGAGAAAGTAACTAAGAAAGAAAACAAATTCATAACTGAGAAAAAACATCGGCAAACCTTACCAGGCGCAAATAATTCACAGTGGAGTAATACATGAAAACGGATGTAGAGGTTTTAGATTTTCTGCTGTAAAGTTAATGTATTTGATTTTTTTACAACAGTGAAGTTTATTATGGCTAAAAAGTAGTGATTGGAGTCCAGAAACTACTTTGTCCTCTTAGCAGAGACGATTATTTAATTGTTTATACCAGCGGCCAACTGTATCTATTAAGGTGTTTGTTGAAAATACCTCAGAAAGGTATTTTTTTATGCTTATTAAGACAAAAAGGTGACATGAAATTGATTCACCCTCACTTCGTGTTGCCTTATCCAAATCTTAAGTCCACTAGGAATTGGGTGTCCCCTGTCAGTGTTTGTACCAAACAGAGTTCTTCTTTTTCCAGTGGCTCCACTCAGGCAGACAAAAGTCAGACTGAAGGTGTTTTTATCCCTGCAGCTGTGGAGTTATCTGGCTATTTTGAGCTATTGATGCTAAGCGCCGGACATTAATCTACTTTGTGAGGATCCCTTTGAAGAAAGTGTCCACCGGAGTGTCACAGATGTGAAATAAATGAAATTATTAAATATACGGTACACAGTCTGATATCTTTTATAGGCCAAGATCAAAGCAAACCAATTGAGTTCTATTCTACCTAATATGTTTTTCTGTGATAAACAGTCCGGCTGAGGGAATAATCCCATCAAGGAAGGGAGAGATTAAAAAGAAAAAAGCATCAGATATATCACATAGCACAGGCGGTTTGCACTGCTCCCATGAAGCACCCGCGTTACAGTATTATAGAAATTGGTAATCTTGTTTCTTGGGTCCGAGTTGAAGCGAAGACCTTTTTTTTTTACACCCTGTGGCTTCCTTTTTTTTTTCTTTTAAGAATCAGTACCAGACATGTAGACAGGAAGACAGACACAGCAGCTCTCTAATGCTGTGAGAGTCCATCTGCCTCAAAGGGCTCCGGTAACTTCCTGTCTTTGGCTTTTTTCGGTGGAATTTCGCAGTAGGCCGATGTATTTGACATGTTTGTGACAGCTTTGGTTGTGTGCGTTTCAGGCTGAGGCATCATGCTCACAACCTAGCAGTGCATTATTCAGAGAACTCATAAATGTGTGTGTGTGTGTCTGCAGGAGCCTCTTTTTTTTCTCCACAAAATAAAACTTGAAGTCTATTTCTTATAAATGCATTTAAAAGTATGTGAATGGAAAAATATGGGTTTGACCAAACATGGCTGCAAATACAAACACACACACACGGTTAGAGCAGAGTCTCGCCTTGATATCATCAGCTTCTGTCATGGGTTAGACTTTGACTCCAATGAATGCATGTCAGGTTGTCAATTTCTTCCAAAAAACCTTTGAATGCAGCCCGGTCATGAATAGTGCATGTTGTTATTTTTTATTTTTTTTAGTCTCCAACCGTCTCCAGGTCTGTTTTTGTTTGTTCCAGAATAAGTTGGAAGGCCTGTACGCTCTCATGCATCCTTTAAGAAAACTTCCAACAAGTATTGTGTTGCTTAGCCTCAGGTGAAAATTCAACCCTGAAGGTAATTTCGTCAAACCGCCTTGAACCAGATGCTTTGGCCTCCGTTATCGCCGTCTTTTCATTTTTTGCCCCCCGTCTGTCTTTGACCCTCAACCCTTCCCCACTTGCCCTGGTTCAGATCCCTCCCTTCCATGAGTCTGGACACACAACCTTTTATGAGTGCACTGTAACGTTTACCAGGAAGACATTTATTTCACTCTTAAAAGTCGGAGAAATATTTTGGCAGCTGTCTCCCATATTCCCTGCAGCGTGCCACATAAGGTCTTTGGCATTATTAGGGAAGGCAAAATGTTGGACGCATGCTGTTAACGTCACTAAAATATACACATGGCTCCCCCCCCACCCCTAAACTGTTACAAATGTTTGGTCGTTGAAGAGCACGCCATTCATCTTTAAAGATGTAAAAAGTCAGTGGTGCGGCGGTGACATTTCACCTCCCTGCTGCAGGAACACCATGCAGAGTGTGAGTGTGCACCTGTGGAGAATGATTGTCTACATATGAACATAGATACAGCGCTGCTGTGCACACATATCCTCCTCCTGTGAGAGAAGAAGCAAGGCAGAGAATTATGACTTGAGTCGGCAGTATTTTGTGTCGGTTGTTGTCTGATGAAACGTTGCCCCATGAACATGTTTTACTCCAACAGTTTGGGGTTTTATTTTAGTTGCTCAGTAGGGCGTGTGTGTATACAGCCAAAGAAAGCACCGTCTTTAGTTAGGCATACTGTTAGAGATATGCGTCCAAACAATATGTTTTTTTATAAGCATTATCTCGCAGTAAGAACATCTCTGACTATTACAATTTTCTCAGTAACAAAAATAAAAAAATAATTAAGTAGAATATTTTTTAGAACTTCATAAAATGTTTTGCCAGTAGAATAGTTTAGTTTGTTAGTGGGGTTTTTTGTACATTCTAGTTTTTACAATCTATCACCCAGAGACGTAAGTTCTACTAGATTTGGAGGTTTTCTATAGAACAAGGTTGATTTTGTCACAAAATCATAAAGACCCCCAAAAAACACATCTCTTCGTAGTTTATCATGTTATGCACTCTTACCAGTTTGTCAGGCTCATATTACTAATCCTTCACTATACTTAACTTTGGGCATTTTATGCATTTCTCAGTATTTGTCCTTTGTTCTGTAGGAGACCCAATTGGAGTTTGGACTTTTTCTGTTGTGAAAAAGCTGAATCTTAGTATCATCTGACAAAGCAAATGCAGTTGGAACTCAGTAGTTGTAAAATAACTACATCTTTTTGCCAAATAAATGCCATCTTTTTCACATATTTTTTTCATTAAGTTTCACTTTAGTTATATAAAACCAGTGATTCCCAAAGTGTAGGACATTGTAGAAATAAACTGAATCAATGACCAACTTTGGAAATCATTTCAAATGAACCTCAATTGGAAGATCTTGAATTATGTTATTATGTTATTTCTTTTTATTGATTAATAACTATAACTTTTGTAATTTCAAGGGGATTTTAGTTTATTTTGTTGGAATATGTTTTACTTATGTTGACTTGAACTGTTGAAAAGATTGGTTAGAGGACGGCACTAAAGCATTCTTTTAAATTTAAAGGTGGCCCAACAAGAAAAGTTTTGGAACCACTGTGTTAAAGTGATTTTTACTCTTCTGAGAAATTCTTTGACAAAAGATAAAGGTGTGAACAGATAGACAACATGTGGGGGTGGGGGGAGGGTACATCTTCATTCCTTTAAATAATCTGTGTTTTTTACAGAGGCGTAGGCTACAACAGGAGTTGGGAGGCCGGAAGATCCCCTTTCTGGGACCGTCTGCTCGAGGTTTTCAGCAGCTGGTGAGTTGGTCTCTTATTTTGACGGCACCATCATGCTTTAAACCCTATTGATTAACACAAATAGATATTGTCTTCTTTTAGTGGGATTCCAGTTACTCTGGCTTAGCCTTGAGGAAATCATGTTCACTTCCTGCTGAGCTCCACAGCCGGGTTCAGGCAGCTCTGCTCACCCTCAGAAGGAAAGGCTGCCTCCTGAAGGATCTGGTTCGCATTCGCGATCGTGATGTTTTCACCGCTGTGTCGCGAGCGCTGGTCGGGGAGCCAGGCCACACCTACCGCTATCTGGACACGCGGCTCTTTGCCATTCCTTGGCACAGTGAGGACACCGAGGTCAAAAGGCAAAACTGTTGTGATCCCGATTTGAGGGACGCTTGCAAAGCATTGTGGGAGCTAAATACATTCCTTTGTTCTGATGTGTCTCAAATAAAGGAGGGAGACCGGCTAGCACAATGTATGAAGGTGGAGGGAGAAACAAACCAAGTGGAAGAGGGTGAGACAGAGTCTAAACACAGTGAAGACTCCAAGAATAGTGAAGGAGGGGACTCAGAGTCCAGACAAAGTGAGGAGGGGGACACCGAGTCAAAACACAGCGAGGAGTGGGACATTGAGTCTAAGCACAGTGAAGAAGGAGGCTCTGGGTCAAAAAAAGAAGAGGGCTGGGAGCCTGAGGAGGGCGAGTCCTCCCAAGTCAAACCCAGTGAAGCTAGTGTTCCAGGAGTTTCAGGTCACAGTGAAGGAAAATGCACCGGCTGGACAACCAAGGCCTTCAGCGGGACAAAGACTGAACCTGTTGGACTACAGGCCCAGGAGAAGACTGTGGCTCAACTAAAGCACAGTTTGTCAGATGATCACACTCAGGACAAAGGAATGAGCTGCTCCCAGCCCAGTTCCCCACAGGCGTGCACCGGCCCAGTCAAGTTCAACGTCACCCTACTGAACTACATGGACCCAGCACAGATGAGCCATCTCAAAGAGGAACCCTACTACGGCATGGGGAAAATGGCCGTCGGGTGGCACCATGACGAGAACCTGATCACTCATTCGCCAGTGGCGGTATACAACTATAGTTGCCATGACGATAAAGGTAAGGTTAAAGAAAAAAGAGAAAGAAAATCAATTAAAAAAATCTTCGATTTACTTAAAAAAGTACATCTAAAAACATTGAATATCCTGAAAATGTTTCATATTTTTGTGACAAATATCATAATAAGTGACAAATTTATTGTATTTCCCTCTTGGAATAATAAAGTTTATTGAATTAAAACAAAACTGGCTAGATTGCAACCCCATAGATTCCCTACGGGGTTCAGGTTATGAAGAAGAGACACCCCCACCCAATAATACAGATGACCTAAAGGCCTCCACTACAGCAAACCAGGTTTCCATCAAGGATTTGGCTAAAGGCGGGCATTTTAAATAGAGCATTTTTTCCCTTTTCCAGTCATGAGAGAATTTGTTGGATCGGGTTGAGTTCCAGCCTCATCGTAGGTCCTGCGTCATGTAGTATACAGGGGGTAGCGAGGGGCGATTAGCCTCTCACGACCACCTCCCGATCGCAAATCTTAAGTGTCGGGAGAAAATCAAACATGTTTGAAATTCCGTCGGACCTCGTCGGATGTTCGTGAGCAAATCCTGCTGTTGAAGCTGGCCAATTTACCAGAACCTTGCACACTATGCATGTGTAAAAAAGGGAGTTCTTCTTCCAGATTGACGAGTGGTTTTTAGACGTACAGTATTAGCAGGTAGATTGCATCAGAGCATCGGGCCGTACAGTGTAAGTAAAAACATTGTGAGCTCTGAACTTTAAAACCCTGTGGTTTTGTCCTACAGTTTTAGCTGTAACTTTGTACAATGATTGGAAATGTTGCCACTGCAAAAACAATCTAGAAACGAGCAAAAATGTCTTAAATTAAGTGTATTTACTATTAATTTGAGTAGGTAAATGAAATCATCTGCCAATGGAATGAGTATTTTTACTCTTAAAATAAGATTATCAGATAATATGCACTTGAAATAAGACAATGTTGTGTTTTCATATTTTAAATGTAAATCATCTAGTTCCATTGGCAAAATGTTTCTTTTACCTCCTCAATTCAAGAACAAATGCACTTGTTCTAAGAAAAAATGACTTATCTAGATTTAGATTTTTTCCAGTGTTTGGCTGCCTTCATGCTTAACAGAAGGAAATCCTCATTTAAGTCATGTCCTGTTGGTTGTGAAACATTTTTACAACGGTTTTTCCTTCTGTTTAACTTTCCATTAATGTGCTTATATACAGCACTCTACAAACAGCTGCTCCTTTAGCATTGGCCTTTTTGTGGCTTACCTTGCAAATAGAGGTTTTAATTGACTCTGATGGACTCTGTCTTTTAGGACAGCAGTAATACCTATGGTTTTGTTGGTAGTAACCTGGCTCTTCAAAAAGAATAATCTATTAAATACATTTTTAAAAAACATGTTTCAATAATCAGAAGCATCTGTCTACTCAGTGAAATTAAACACCTTTTACACTTTTCACTAATTAATTCTACATTAAAATGCAAAAAATCCACTTTGATACTGCAGATAAAGAGTAATTTTTGTCTTTTTCTTCGATAATAACCGAGGTCACTTATCTCTGTTGCTGTGCGGTGGATCAGAGGCAGGTAACCTTGTGTATTAAGGCCCTGCAGCAGCAGCTGCAGACACGGCCTCTGGTGAGGGAACCATCAGATCCATCTACGCGATAGTGTCAGGGCATTATCAAATGTCATCACCAGTTCGCCGCTGACAGTCTTATCGCAGCCTGTGCGTTAGGAGATCACAGACATTTGAATCTGGGCCCTTAACATGGGCTCAATGGCGCAGTATAACAAACAGACCTTATCACAAGCGCTACATCTCATCTAAATCATTTCCCCCAGAAATGATCGATGTGCAATTATCTGATATGGAATAATGAGCCCCGCTTTGATAAGTGTTCTTAGACTGTAGCTCTGGATAATACAATGTCTCCTAATTACCCATCGCATACACTCTCGAAAGCTAATAGTGTTTGCTGATAGACCTGATAAAGAAATGGAGAAAACTTTGCTTTCTAGAACAGATGCAAAACAAACTGTAGGATAGGATTTAGCTGAAATAGGTGTTTTATTTAAAATAGTGGCAAGTCGAAGGAAGATGTTTGTTTAAAACTCCAGAAGAATATCATGCTTTCAGTACTCTTTAAAGCAACTTTTTCACAAGGCTTCTCTGCCTAGACTGAAAATGCTCAGTCACATTAGATCATTTGTGAAGTGTTTTCAAGGTCACAGATTCTCTGTTAAACTTTCAACACCTTCCTACACATGGATAAGCCTTAACTGTAGCTCTGGCTATACTCTCAGAGGAAATGCAGACTTCTTTATATTTTACCCTCATCCTCCCTATCAACTCTGACTAAGTGGTTATTGAAGAAATCCCGCAGGAGGATGCTGCCAACACCATGTATCACATTGGCTATTATTGTGTTATAGAAAAAAGAATAATTGACTTGGTAAGAATTCTGGTTACATCAGCCCTAATCAGCTCATCAGAATGCTTATAATTTAGAATTTTAATTTTTTAAGGTATATTTTGTCTTGATTTTGTTAGAAAACACATTAGATATGCTTGAATATATTGTTAAAGGAATAGTACAGCCAAAACATGATTAGCCTTCATTTTCTACTCACCCCCATGCTGAACAACACTCTGGAGTACT